TTGAAAAATTGTAATATGTATTTAAAAACCGATAAATTGAAAATGGTAAATTAAAAAAGTTGAAAAATCAAAAAAAAAGAAAAATCGAGAACTTGAAGAATCAAAAAAATTGAAAAATCCCAAAAATTGAAATATCGATAAATTAAGAAATCGAAACTTGAAAAATCGAGAATTCGAAAAGCCGAAAAATCGTAAAATTTTAAAAATCGAAAAAACGGCAATCGAGAAATTGAAAATTCGAAAAATCGAAAAATTGAAATACTGAAATTGAAAAATCGAAAAATTGAAATCTCAAAAGACTGAAAAACTAAGAAATCGAAAAATCCCAAAATTGGAATGTCGAAAAATTGGAAAATCAAAAAAACGAAAAGTCGAAAAGACGAAAAATTGAGCAATCGGAAAATCGAAAATTTAGAATTGGTCAAAATTGAAAAATCAAAAAAAAGAAAAATTAAGAAATTGAAGAATCAAAAAACTGAAAATCCCAAAAATTGAAATATCGATAAATTGAGAAATTGAAACTTGAGAAATCGAGAATTCGAAAAGCCGAAAAGTCGTAAAATTTTAAAAATCGAAAAAACGAAAAGTCGAGAAATTGAAAAATCTAAAATTCGAAAAGTTGAAACGACGAAAAATCGAGTAATCGGAAAATCGAAAATTTAGAAACCGTCAAAATTGAAAAATCACAATATTTAAAAACTGATAAATTGAAAAATGTAAAATTGAACAAAAAATTGAAAAATCAAAAAAACGAAAAAATCGAGAAATTGAAAAAACGAAAAAATCGAGAAATTGAAAAACCTAAAATTTTAGAAATTCGGAAAACAACATCAAAATTCTGAATCGAAAAACTGAAAAATTCCAAGACAAATGATGAAAACTAGAAAAATTGAAAAATCGAAAGATCGAAAAGCCGAAATACTAAAATTGAAAAATGTAAAATTTAAAAAATTGAAAAATTGAAGATCCAAAAAATTAAAAAATTAAGAAATCGAAAAATCCCGAAACTGGCATGTAGAAAAATTGGAAAATCAAAAACTTATAAAATATCAGAACATCGAAAAACTGAAAAATCGAAAAATTGCAAAGACCAAAAATTAAAAAAATTAAAATTGGAAAAGTCGAAAAGAGGAAAAATCGAGCAATCGAAAAATCGAAAATTTAGAAATGATAAAAATTGAAAAATCGCAATATTTGAAAATCAAAAAATTGAAAAATGTAAAATAAAAAAAATTGAAAAATCAAAAAAACGAAAAATAGAATAATTGAAAAACCTAAAATAAATATCAGAACATCGAAAAATCGAAAAATTGAAAAGACCAAAAATCAAAAAATTTAAAATTGGAAAAGTGGAAAATGCGAAAAATCGAGCAATCGGAAAATCAAAAATGTAAAAATGATAAAAATTGAAAAATCGCAATATTTAAAAACCGAAAAATTGAAAAATGTTAAATTTAAAAAATTGAAAAATCGCAATATTTAAAAACCGATAAATTGAAAAATGTAAATTTAAAAAAAAACGAAAAAATCGAGAAATTACAAAACCTAAAATTTTAGAAATTCGAAAAACAACATCAAAAATCTGAATCCAAAAACTGAAAAATTTGAAGACTGAAATGACGAAAAATCGAAAAACCGAAAACTTAAAATTCGAGTTTCATGAAATTTGGTTTTCCTTCATTGTCTCGTGAAATTGTAAAAATCGAAAAACGAGAAGTCGAGAAATTGAAAATTCGAAAAATCGCAAAACTGAAACACTGAAATTCAACAATCGAAACATGAAATTTAAAAAATTCTAAAAATTGAAGACCCAAAAAATTGAAAAATTAAGAAATCGAAAAATCCCAAAACTGAAATGTTGAACAATTGGAAAATCAAAAAATTGTTAAATATCAGAACATCGAAAAATTGAAAAGTCGAAAAATTGAAAAAACCAAAAGTCAAAATATTTAAAATTCGAATAGTCGAAAAGATGAAAAATCGAGCAATCAGAAAATCGAAAATTTAGAAATGGTCAAAATTGAAAAATCGCAATATTTAAAAATTGAAAAATGTAAAATTAAAAAAATTTAAAAATCAGAAAAACGACAAATAGAAAAATTGAAAAACCTAAAATTTTGAAAATTCGAAAAACAACATGAAAAATCTGAATCGAAAAACTGAAAAATTTAAAGACTGAAATGACGAAAAATCGAAAAACCAAAAACTTAAAATTCGACTTTCATGAAATTTGGTTTCCTTCATTGTCTCGAGAAATTTTAAAAATCGAAAAACGAGAAGTCGAGAAATTGAAAATTCAAAAAATCGAAAAACTGAAATAGTGGAATTAGAAAATCTAAAAATGTAAAATTTAAAAAATTGAAAAATTGAAGACCCAAAAAATTGAAAAATTAAGAAATCGAAAAATCCCAAAACTGAAATGTCGAAAAATTGGAAAAGCAAAAAATTGTTAAATATCAGAACATCGAAAAACTGAAAAAGCGAAAAATTGAAAAGAACAAATTTGAAGTTGGAAAAGTCGAAAAGATAAAAAATCGAGCAATCGAAAAATCGAAATTAGAAATGATAAAAATTGAAAAATCACGATAATTAAAAGTCAAAAAATTGAAAAACGTAAAAATAAAAAAATTGAAAATTCAAAAAAACGAAAAATTGAAAAATTGAAAAACCTAAAATTTTAAAAATTCGAAAATAACATACTAAAAACCTGAATGACGAAATAACGAAAAATTGGAATATTAAAAGATGCAAAAATTGAAAAATCGAAAAATGAAAAGCCGAAAAACCTAAAATTTGACTTCCACGGAATTTGATTTCTCCTCTATCTTCCTGATATTTAAATGTGTTTTTCTTTTTTATTCCACGAACATAAGTTATGACTACTTTCATGTTTTCTCGACATTTTAGTGCATTTAGAAAATGAAAAAATATACCTTTTTTTTACTTCCTTTTTTTTGCCGCCCTTTTCTCACGACTTTTTGTCGCTTTTTGCTTGGTCCATTTTTGTTGCCTTTCGTTTCATTTTTTTGTTGCTTTTTCGTCTCATTCTTTGTAACTATTTCGATCGCATTTTTTATTACTTATTTATCGTTTTGTTTCTGCATTTTTGTCGATTTTGGAAACTGTTTGTCGACCGATTTTTTAATTGCATTTTTCCCGGTATTTCTTTATCAATTTTTGTCGCTTTTTTACGAGTTTTTAGTGTTTTTTACTACATTTTTGTCGCTTCTTGGACGATTTTTTCTGTCACGGTTTTTGATGATTTTTTGAGGCAGGTTTTTGGCCTCTTTTTTTAATTGCCTTTTCTTCGCATCCTTTGTCGCTTTTCGAATGTTCATTTTTTGTAGCCCCCTTATGTAGCAGGTTTTAACTTCTTTTCTTGTAATTTCTTGTTTTTGTTTTTGGTCTATTTTTTAATTGCACTTTTTGACACCTTTTTTTGCCGTTTATTTACTTCCTTTTTTGTCGGATTTTTCAGACCATTTTTTTGGCCCTTTTTTGTAGTCTTTCTTGCCGTATTTTTAGTGTGTTTTATTTGACCTAATTTTTTTCGCATCTTTTGTATCAAGTTTTCCTCCTTTCTTTGTCGCTTTTTGACTATTTCTTTCGTCTCACCTTTTTGGAATCTTTCCGAAAATCTTCAGTAAAGAGGTTTTTTTGTTAAGAGATCGTTTTATTTTAAATAATGGAACATATCGGATAGTTATTATTGAAGATTGGATGCTCCAACAAAATTTTGCTCCTTCAAAACTAAACAAAACGCGTTTTACATTAACCCAAGAACACACGCATCACCAATAAATTTTCCACAACCACCTACCTCCCAAACCACTATCTTGATCGCCTCACCTTCAAAAATCACCAAATCACAATTTATGCGATTTTCCTCACATTTACAACCGACAATTGCCAGCCGATCGTCCCACTTTTGAAGATCACCTCCATGCGTCTGATTCACGCTTTTTCATCTCCACTGCATTTAGTGATTTTTGCAGAACGTGTGGTCCTGATAACACTGATTACTTCGCCAACAATAGCAAAGGACAGTTATTAGTAATTTATTTAAATGCAAGCTCAGCGGTGCGTTTCGTATGACGTAACAGAATTTTTTTCCTCAGTGTATGCAAATGACGTTCTTTCATTAAAAACCTGTGCCGACAGTCAACCTTTATTAGTGGATTGCACATTATGGAAGCTAATTGGCTCGGTTTTATTTATGGGCGCTTTTCGCTGAAGCCGTGTTAAAAATGTTTGACGCGGAATATACAGGTGTTTTTTTCTCTTTGACTGTGTTAGAAGAAGTTTGGAATGTATTGTGTTGTGGAGCTAAAAATAGAACGAAAGTAAAAGTCATGCATTATGTGCTATCAGGTTGGTTTGTTGCATTCTGGGCTGACGGATGGTGTCTTCATTTCGACTAATTCGTCGTCTCTTCTAAATCCAATTGTAGAATTAATTTAAAGATCTTGAATTTATTTTAGGATATGAATACCAGTCATCGAAATGATTTACACAAGTTAACCTTTACATCAAGACAACAAATACTTCAACGAGCTTAAGAAATTAATTAGAACTAATTAAAAGTCGCATTGCTAAGTACACTACATGAATCAAAGATTGCATTGTACGTTCTAAAACGATTTAAATAAATAATTGTGTCGCTTGAAAATTAATGAAGCAATTTTTCTGCAACAAATTTTTGCTAAAAGTTCTAATTTGCATTAAAATGCATCACTTCCTCTACACACGTTGTGGCATTCGCTGAAACATTTTTATAGGATTTTTGATCCTTTCACTCTCTATTACCAAGATAATAATTAAAACCGTCGTCAGACATAATAAATGGATCAGGACATAATCTCGGGATTACTATTCGTGTTTTTAAGATAACCGGTCGAACATCCATTTCAATATGCATTCCAAAATTAAGAAACCTTATTTATTATAGCCACATTAACTAAATCAAGACTAACGACTATTGAGAAATAAACACGCACAAATTTCACTGCGGACTTTATTTTTCCAAACTCAACCACAGTTAGCCCAAAATTTTGTTAGCACAGTCCGCGATTTGGGCAACCAAATCCGTAACATAAGCTGTAAAATCGGCGACGTTGTTGTCGTTGCATTCCTTCACTATTACCTTCAGCTCGTCCAGCATTTCCTTGGCTTTGTTGATCTGGAGCTGGATCTGGAGAGGCAAATCCGTGGTGTCCTTTTCGATTTGGGTTAGAAGAACCGAAACGCACGAAGGCTCGTTCGCGCAGCGATCCAGCTGGAATTCCAGACTCTGCACTCTGGTCATTACAGTGTCCACTAGGTAGATGGAACTGTCCAAGACGCTTTTAGCTTCGTCGGTTTGGGCGGCGACGCACGTTTCCAGTCGCCCTTTTAGCTCGTCTGGAAGCCTGTGGATCATCTGTTCGCGGCCTCCTGTGCAGTAAGAGATGTCTTTGCCGGCGGCGAGGGCTAGATCTTTGATTTGGGTGAGTTCGGTGGCTACTTCTGCGTAGACTTGGTCTATGGATAGTTCTCCGAGGCTGACAATGTTGTGGCTGTATGATGCTATGTCGGAGTAGTAGTGGGCGAAGTTGTCTTGGGCGACTTGGATGTGGCCGAGGACGAGGGCTCGGAGGTTGCTTAGCTCGATTTTGGCGTCTTCGACGACATCATATACTGATGTCTGGGCATACTGTTAAATTCACAAAGTTACAAAATTTGATCACTAGAAAAGTTGGGTATTTTGATACCTGAGAAGTCACTAGGACTAGCAACAGAAGCGAAAAAAGTTTGTTCATCGTGGCGGATAAGAAGGGACTCAGTGTAGCCACTATTTAAGTGTGGACGAATGAGGTTATCACCATTTTTGAAGAAAGACTATAAATTGATAAAGTAATAAATGGTTGTAAAGCAATATTGATAAATTTGTTTGGGGAAATAAAACTATTTGTTTTATGGTCAGTGTACTCAGCCGAAATTGTGAGCTGTGTTTATTTATAACATAAGCTACTTTAAGTGCAGTTGACGATTTTATGACTGCATTGTGTTTTGATTACACGATTTGGGTGATTGGCAAATCTGTCTACAATGAATATTTCTGGCCTTTCCTGGTTTTTCTTTGTGTACAGTGTTTCTTTCTTCTTTGTCAGTCATTTTAGTAGAAATACAATCTCAAACCGTCGTCAGGACGTCAGTTCCAATAAACACAAAAAGTGTGTTCAAAATTTTCGAAACTTTCCAAAAAAAAATGTTTTAATTGGTTCTATCGACTGAAAATTGGTGTTAAATTTAAAATAATCTTCCGCCAGTGACAAATCTGAAATCGCCATCACGATATCTGTTCCAATAAACACAAAAAGCAAGTTCAAAATTTTCAAAAAATTTCCAAAAAAGCGGTTTAAATTAGTTCAGTCGACCGAAAGTTGGTGTCAAACTGTAGATAATCTTCTGCTAATTACAAATCCGACATCGCCGTTATGATATGTTCCAATAAACACGGAAAATAATTCCAAAATTTTCAAACATTTTCCAAAAAATTGGTTAAAATTGGTTTGATCGACCCAAATTTAGTGTAAAATTGTAGATAATCTTCAACTAATTACAAATCTGAAATTGCCTTTACGATATTTGTTCTAACACATACAAAAAGTGGGTTCAAAATTTTCACAAATTTTTCAAAAAAATGGTTAAAATTGGTTGAATCGACCGAAAGTTGGTGTCAACTGGTAGCTAGTCTTCCGCTAATCGCAAATCTAAAATCGCCGTTATGATATCCATTCCAATAAACACAAAATTCGAGCTAAAAATTTTCAAAAATTTTCCAAAAAAATGGTTAAAATTGGTTCGATCAACCGAAAGTTGGTGTCAAATTATAGATAATCTTCCTCTAATCACAAATCTGAAATTGCCGTCAGGATATCTGTTCCAAAAGTGAGTTCAAAATTTCCAAAAATTTTCCAAAAAAACGGTTAAAATTGGTTCAATCGACCGAAAGTTGATGTCAAACTGCAGATAATCTTCTGCTAAGTACAAATCTGAAATCACCGTCACTATATTTGTTCCAATAACAAAAAAAATGAGTTAAAAATTTCCAAAAATTTTCCAAAAAAATGGTTAAAATCGGTTCTGTCGACCGAAAATTAATGTCAAATTTTTATCAATCTTCCGCCAGTTACAAATCTCAAATCGTCGTTACGATATCTCTTCCAATAAACACGGAAACTGAGTTAAAAATTTTCAAAAACTTTGTAAAAATTGTTAAAATTGGTTCGATTGACCGAAAGTTGGTGTGAAATTTTAGATAATCCTCCGCTAATTATAATTCTGAAATCACCGTTACGATGCCTGCTCCAATAAGCATGGAAAGTAAGTTCAAAATTTTCAAACATTTTCCAAAAAAATGTTTAAAATTGGTTCGATTGACTGACAGTTGGTATTAAATTATAGATAATCTTCCGCTAATTACAAATTTGAAATCGCCGTCACGGTACCTGCTCCAATAAATACAAAGAGTGAGTTCAAAATTTTTAAAATTTTTTTTAAAAATTGGTTGAAATTGGTTCAATCGACCGTAAGTTGGTGTCGAATTGTAGATAATCTTCCGCTAATGACAAATCTAAAATCCCCGTCACTATATTTGTTCCAATAAATAAAAAAAATGGATTCAAAATTTCCAAAAATTTTCAAAAAAAATGGTTAAAATTGGTTCGATCCACCGAAAGTTGCTGTCAAACTGTAGATATCCTTCTACTAACTACAAATCTGAAATCGTCGTCACGATATCTGTTCCAATAAACACAAAAAATGAGTTCATAAGTTTCAAAAATTTTCCAAAAAAAATGGTTAAAATTGGTTCGATCGACCGCAAATTGGTGTCAAATTCTAGCTAATCTTCCCCCAGTTACAAATCTTAAATCGCCGCTATAATATCTGTTCCAATAAACACGAAAACTGAATTCAAAATTTTCAAAAATTTTCCAAAAAAGTGGTTAAAATTGGTTCGATCGACCGAAAGTTGGTGTCAAACTGTAGATAATCTTCTGCTAATTACAAATCTGAAATCGCCGTCACGATATCTGTTCCAGTAAATCTGAAAACCGAATTCAAAATTTCCAAAAAATTTTCAAAAAAAATGGTTGAAATGGGTACAATCGGACGAAAATTGGTTTTATTGTAGAAAATCTTCCCGTCATTTACAAATCTGAAATAGCCACCACGATATCTATTTCAATAAATACAAAAAGTGATTTCAAAATTTTCAAAAATTTCCAAAAAAATTGTTAAAATTGGTTCAATCGCCCGAAAATTCTTGTTAAATCGTTGATAATCTTCCACTAATTACAAATCAGGAATCGCCTTCACGATGTTTGCTCTAATAAATAGAACAAGTGAATCCAAAATTTTCAAAAAATTTCCAAAAAAATGTTTACAATTGGTTCGCTCCACCGAAAGTTGGTGTCAAATTGTTGATCAACTTCCGCTAATTTCAAATTGGAAGCCGCTGTCACGATATCGGTTCCAATAAACACAAAAAGTGATTTCAAAATTTTCAAAATTTTCAAAAAAATTGTTAAAATCGGTTCAATCGACCGAAAATTTGTGTCAAATTGTAGGTAACCTTCCGCTAATTACAAATCTGAAATCGCCGTAAGAATATCTGTTTCAATAAACACCAAAAATGAGTTCAAAATTTTCAAAAATTTTCCAAAAAATTGGTTAGAATTGGTTCGATCTACCGAAAGTTGGTGTCAAATTTTAGATAAACTTCCGCTAATTTCAAATCGGAAATCGCTGTCACGATATCGGTTGCAATAAACACAAAAAGTGAGTTCAAAATTTTCAAGAATTTTCCAAAAAATTGTTAAAATTAGTTCAATCGACCGAAAATTCATGTCGAATTGTAGATAACCTTCCGCTAATTACAAATCTGAAATCGCCGTAAAGATATCTGTTCCAATAAACACTAAAGGTGAGTTCAAAATTTTCAAAAATTTAAAAAAAAAATGGTTAGAATTGGTTCGATCGACCGAAAGTTGGTGTGTAAAATTGTAGATAACCTTCCACTAATTACAAATCTGAAATCGCCCTCACGATAATTGCTCTAATAAATACAAAATGTGAATCCAAAATTTTCAAAAATTTTTCAAAAATATGTTTGAAAATGGTCAAATTTTAGGTAATCTTCCGCTAATTACAAATCGGAAGTTGCCAGCACGATATGTGTTCCAATAAACACAAAAAGTTAGTTCAAGGTTTTCAAAAATTTTCCAAAAAATTTTTAAAATTAGTTCAATGGACCGAAAATTGGTCTCAAATTGTAGATAACCTTCCGCTAATTACAAATCTGAAATCGCCGTAAAGATATCTGTTCCAATAAACACTAAAGGTGAGTTAAACATTTTCAAAAATTGTATAAAAAATTGGTTAGAATTGGTTCGATCGACCGAAAGTTGGTGTGTAAAATTGTAGATAACCTTCCACTAATTACAAATCTGAAATCGCCTTCACGATATTTGCTATAATGAATACAAAATGTGAGTCCAAAATTTTCAAAAATGTTTCAAAAATGTGTTTGAAATTGATCAAATTGTAGATAACCTTCCACTAATTACAAATCTGAAACCGCCTTCACAATATTTGCTCTAATAAATACAAAATGTGAGTCCAAAATTTTCTAAAATTTTCAAAAACATGTTTGAAATTGGTCAAATTTTAGATAATCTTCCGCTAATTACAAATCGGAAGTTGCCAGCACGATATGTGTTCCAATAGACACAAAAAGTGAGTTCCAAAAAAATGTTTAAAATTGGGTCGATCGACCGAAAGTTGATGTCAAATTTTAACTAATCTTCCGCCAGTTACAAATCTGAAATCGCCGTTACGATATCTGTTCCAATAAACACGGAATGTAGATTCAAAATTTTCAAAAATTTTCCAAAAAAATGGTTAAAATTGGTTCGATCGTCCAAAAGTTGGTGTCAAATTGTAGATAATTTTCCGCCAATTACAAATATCAAATCGCCGTCACGACATTAGTTCCAATGAACAAAAAAAGTGAGTTTAAAATTTTCAAAAATTTTCCAAAAAAATGGTTAAAATTGGTTTGATCGACCGAAAGTTGGTGTCAAATTGTAGATATTTATCCCGTAATCACAATTCTGAAATCGCCGTTACGATATCTTATCCAATAAACACGGAAAGTGAGTTCAAAATTTTCAAAAATTTTCCAAAACAATGGTTAAAATTGTTTCGATCTACGGACAGTTGGTGTCAAAGTGTAGACAATCTTCCGCTAATTACAAATCTGAAATTGCCGTCACGATATGTGTTCCAATAAAAACGAAAAGTGAATTCAAAATTTCGAAAAATTTTCCAAAAAAAATGGAGATTCTTTTGCAACTAAACAAAAAACACAGTCAGGGTTCCTGCAATTCTTCTACAGAAAATCTATGAAGTAATTTAAAAAAATTTACGTTGAAAAATATCAATTACCGTGATGCAGATAACCAGCCACACAATTAGTACACAATAAAGCTTAAGGTAACATTTCCACGGAATATTTTGCATAAAATAAAGTTAATTTAAATAATCACAAACATGTAAACAATTAGTTAATTAATACACTGATTATACGTACATACGAATCCCTGTTTCAGATTAATTCAGAAATTTCTAATAATCACAGCGCCACAGTGGGGTTCTGCTCTTAGAAAGAACCTCCCACGGTGAAGTCAATCTTTCAGTTTTCACGACCACAATTTATATTAAAATTATAGAAACTCGAACAAAGGCAGTTAATATTTAGGAGATCTCAAACTGCATTAATCAGCACCCACCTCAAGAAAATTGCATCAAATCGCCACGACAGTGTTTAACATTCAAGAAATACCGCAGCAAAATCCGATGCAGCTGATCAATAATCTTCCACAGGATTAACATTTAACGTGCAATTTGAGGAATCTCGTGCCGAAATATTTAAAATAAGTGCATGCGGTGTATTACTCAAAAAAATGAGCATTTCTATGTTAAACGGCGAAAGTTTGATTTTTTGCTTTAGTAAACAGATGGTTCAGTTATATAAATCAGCTAATACGTGTTAATTTGTCATTAACAAAATCGCGTGTCTTACAATTTCCTAAAATTAGCTCATCCGATTGCCCAATATCTGGCCCTGACTGGTTTCACGGACCTTAGTTTGACGTTATCTCGCATCTGTAGCTAAATTTCCTCCGGATACTCCACCGAAAGTGAACGTGAAACGCCGGTTTTCAGCGATTTTCCCACACTTGACACCCGACCCGCTGAAATCGATGGGTTGCAAATCTGGCCGGCCGACATCTCGCTCCATAATAATTAATATTTATAAAATTTAAGAAACAAAATTCTTCGGTTATCACTTTACATACCAACCTCGATTACCCGATTTTGGTGCAAGAATGAGGCAAGAAGGCAAAAAATGCAAATCGAACAAGGAATCCGCGTTTGCGACATTGAGTAAAAGTAAAAAGTTACATTGTTGCCAACACCCACACCTTCGGAGCCTCAAAGTCCCGGACTTTATCACAATGGGTCTACGGTCTAACCCTTGTAAAAGAATTAATCGACGGAAAGTCCGAGTGACAGTAATTGATGATCAGTGAGGTCGTCTTCTCCCCCGCCAGAAAAAACACTCGAAGAAAGGACCTCGAGAGCGTTTCAAATGTAAATAAACGCCGCTATAATGTGATGTTACATTATTACACATAATGTAAGAAAGATGCCCCCTCTTTGCCCATCTCCCACTTGAAGGTTTGGTATAAAAGACAGTGTTATAATAGCAGCATCCCATCACTCTGTGTACAGTGCCGAATTAGGGGTTTTTTGTGTTCTGTTGGTTTTTGCATGGTTTGTGACGCTGATAGGACATGATCGTCAAGGTAAGACCAGGAGCTAAGTATTTTCCACGCCAAAATTTTTCCCAAAACTATATCTTTTTTGATCAAAATTTTTCGTGCAGATGTTTTCATTGCCACCATAAACTTTATTCTTGCGTGTAATAGTCCCTCAGTATGCACATCCACACTCGACATTGACTCTAAATCCGCAGAACCATTTTTCTCGAATTCCTGATGTTGGCATTTAGAGGATCGGAGTAATTGTGTCTTGTCGACAAGTACAAGAAATTAGTGTTGAATGCCAGTTCGGTGCACGAGTTTTGCGCGATAAAAGGCTTTGTTGCGAAATTTCCGCTCAAAATGTCAACAAATAGGTAAAGAATGGCAGCCTCGTCACAATTGAGCTTTTTTTGCGAAAATGGGTGTCGAGGAATGCGTTTTTTGAATCGAAGAAATTGCGAAACGCGCTTCTAGTTTTTTTTTTATTTTCTGAGTTGATGAGCGCTTGATTGCAAGGTCGACGACACCCCCTCTCCGGAGATGATGTATTGGTGCGTTTTGTAATTTTTTCAAAGTGGACTATTAGTTTAACCTTTATTGTTTTTTAATTGTTCTTTTTTTCTCGGCTGTCATTGAACTTCCTGGCTGAATTATGACGGCACTTTTACTTTTTATTAGATGCGCTGGATTATGTTTTGGGTTTATTTATGGTGTTAGGATTACGAAGTGACCTAGTAGTGTGTGAACGGAATGTTTTGCGGATTCATACGGTTTTTATGAGGCAATTGGGTGTACGAATTTCCACATTGTACAGTGAGACGCAATGATTTGAGGAAAATATTAGTTCACACGAAATATTTTCAAACTGTTCTTTGTTTTAAACTTTAAAAACTTATTTTCCCATTGCCAATTCCCAACTTATTTTAACTTCTTAAATTTTCCTTTTAATATATAATATTTAGTTGAAGGTTGTTTTGAAATAAAAACTAAATCAATGTTTTGTAATAAATGACAAAATTTAACAATTAGTCCATATTAGAATGTCAATATTTTTGAAAAAACTAATTTCCAAGTAGTGTTTGTTACACAAATCACAATATCTTTTTGACTTTTGACTCAAATGTTTACTGTTTCAACTTGTAATCTAAATCTAGATTTAACTATATATCCTTAATCTGCTAAAAATTGAATTTCCAAAATTGTAAAAAAATCCTGAAATATTAATACATGTAAAATAAATCAAAAAATTAAACATCAAAAAAAAGAAAGATCTATCAATAAGAGTCTTTTGAAATAATACATAAATAATTTCAACCTTAAACTTCACAGTTCGAATTAAATCTTCTTCCTAATCTAGCCTAACGTACAAACTAAATTTCAGAAATTTGACGCTGAAAATGAAATTTGGAAATTTTTAGAAACGTTTAGAAATATTTGTATCCACAAGAGTATTGATTAAAGATAAAATCAGCCCTTTCAAACAAATCAATAGCTTTTTTCCTGATATGGTGTCTTGAAATAATTTAAAAGAAACTTCCAAAATCGTAAAAAAAATTCAAAGGATTCTACAATTAAGCTCCGTCCATCGGCTTACGACGAATAAAAAAAATCATCAGAATTAAGATCGGGCGGGCGGGGCTTATATTTTTCCTTTTTTTCTTAAGATACATATCCATCTTTTCACACGAAAAACTTAGTTAAACGGGGTCTAATTGCAAAATTGCAAATCCTTATACAAATTTTTCATTTTAAACATGTTTTAAGTTTCATCTTGTGAAAAGAAGTCTACACATATATTAAAACAAAAAGGCAAAATATAAGCCCGCCCACCCGCCCGATCTCAATTGTGATGATTTTTTTTATTCGCCGTGAATCAAGAGGGCGGAGCTTAACTGTAAAATATTTATAACTTTACAAGAAATTACATGTTTTTAATTTGTCATAGAGAAATAAGGTTTTTGCAGTTAAGCTCCGCCTTCTTGGCTCACGATGAATAAAAAAAATCATTACAATTGAGATAGGGTGGGTGGGCGGGGCTACATTTTATAATTCCCCCTTTGGAGTTTAATCATATTAGGCTTAAGTTAAAATTTTTGGAAAAATTACAGTTTTAAACTAATCTTTCTACAGCAGACCACAATTTTATTCTTGGATAATTTTCTAAAAATTTTTATCCACAATAGTGACGACAAAAGGCAAAAGCAGTCCTGTTTAAAAAATTAAAAACTTTTTTTTATATGATGTCTTGAAAGAAAATTTAAAATGAAACCACTTATTCGCTTGAAATGATAAAATTTAATAATTAGATCACAATTAGAACATGCTAAAATTTTTGGAAAAGCTGCAATTTTCAATTAATTTTTCTAGAGCAGATCACAATTATAATCCTTAATGTGCTAGAAATTAAATTTGCAAAATTGTAAAAATGTCCTGAAATATTATTTGCTATTTTCATGTAAAATAAATCGAAAAATAAAACATTAAAAAGAAGAAAGAACTGTCAATAAGATTTTTTTTTCAATAGTACTTACATAAATAATTTCAAAATCGTAAATGGTAAATACAAAAGTATCAAACTAAAAAAATACAAAAAAAGGATCAATAAGAATGTTCTGAAATAAGAAAAAGAAATAAGGATTTTACAATTTAGCTCCGTCCGTCGGCTTAGGACGAATAAATAAAAATCATCAGAATTAAGATAGGGTGGGTGGGCAGGGCTTATATTTTTCCTTTTTTTTTTTTCTTAACATACATATCCATCTTTTCACAACAAGAAACTTAGGACATGGTTAAAAGGAGCCTAATTGCAAAATCGATATTTCCTTATACAAATTTTCCATTTCAAATATGTTTTAAGTTTCATGTTGTGAAAAGAAGTCTACTTAGATTTAAGTTAAAATTTTTGGAAAAATTACAGTTTTCAAGTAATCCTTCTACAGCAGACCAAAATTTTATTCTTAGATAGTTTTCTAAAATTTTGTATCCACAATAGTGATGACCAAAGGCAAAAGCAGTCCTGTTTAAAAAATTAAAAACTTTTTTTTATATTATGTCTTGAAAGAAAATTTAAAATGAAACCACTTATTTGCTTGAAATGATAAAATTAGTAATTAGATCATAATTATAACATGTTAAAATATTTGGCAAAAATGCAATTTTCAATTATTATATAGCAGATCACAATTGTAATTCTTAATGTGCTAGAAATTAAATTTCCAAAATTGGAAAAAAGTCTTGAAATATTATTTGCTGTTTTCATGTAAAATAAATCTAAAAATAAAACATTAAAAAAAAAACTATCAATAAGAATCTTTTGAAATAATGCATAAATAATTTCAACCTTAAACTTCACAGTTCGAATTAAATCTTGTTCCTGACATAAAAACTAAATTTCAGAAATTTGACGCTGAAAATGAAATTTGGAAATTTTTTGAAATCTTCAGAAAAATTTTTATCCACGAGAGTATTGATTAAAGGCAAAATCTGTCCTTTAAAACAAATAAGTAGCTTTTTTCACGATATTGTCTCTTGAAATAATTAAAAAAAAACTTCCAAAATCGTAAATGGTAAATACAAAAGCATCAAATTAAAAAAAATACAAAAAGGATCAATAAGAATTTTCTAAAATAAGAAAAAGAAATAAGGATTTTACAATTTAGCTCCGTCCGTCGGCTTACGACGAATAACAAAAAATCATCAGAATTAAGATAGGGTGAGTGGGCGGGGCTTATATTTTTTCTTTTTTTCTTAATATACATATCCACCTTTTCACAACAAGAAATTTAGGACATGGTTAAACGGAGCCTAATTGCAAAATCGATATTTCCTTATACAAATTTTCCATTCGAAACATGTTCTAAGTTTCATGTTGTGAAAAGAAGTCTACACACATAATAAAACAAAAAGACAAAATATAAGCCCGCCCACCCGCCCCATCTCAATTGTGATGATTTTTTTTATTCGCCGTGAATCAAGAGGGCGGAGCTTAACTGCAAAATACTTATTTCTTTACAAGAAATTAAAACTATGTTTTTGAGTATCCTATTGTTCAAATAATGCTATGTATATTAAGAAACAAAGACAAAATATAAACCCCGCTCACCCACCCCATCTCAATTATGATGATTTTTTTTTATTCGCCGTGAACCAAGGGGGTGGAGCTTAACTGCTAAAATAGTTAGTTCTTTACAAGAAATTACAAGTTTTTAATTTGTCGGAGAGAAATAAGGTGTTTGCAGTTAAGCTCCGCCTTCTTGGCTCATGACGAATAAAGAAAATCGTGACAATTGAGATAGGGTGGGTGGGCGGGGCTACATTTTATAAATCCCACTTTAGAGTTTAATCATATTAGACTTAAGATACAATTTTTGGAAAAATTACAGTTTTCAAGTAATCTTTCTACACCAGACCACAAATTTATTCTTGGATAATTTTCTAAAATAAAACTTCCAAAATTGTGAAACAATCTTCAAATGTTAATATTGGTTTTACTTTTTTGATACGAAATAAAAAAAAATAAAAATTAAAAAAAAAACAAAAACAGGTCAATAAGAAACTTGTGAAAGAATAAATAAATGATTTCAACTTAAAAATTGAAAATTCGAATTAAATATTGCTCCTAGACTGGCTTGATTCAAATACTGAATTTCAAAAGTTTGGTAATAAAAATGAAATTTGTAAATTTTTAGAAATGTTTAGAAAAATTTGTATCCACAAGAGTATTAATTAAAGGCAAAATAAATCCTTTAAAACAAATAAGTAGGCTTTTTTTCATGATATGGTGTCTTGAAATAATTAAAAAAAAACTTCCAAAATCGAAAAAAAATCAAATGCTAACACTGTTAAATACAAAATTGACAAATTAAAAAAAATACAAAAAACGATCAATAAAAATCTTCTGAAATAAGGAAAAGAAATAAGAATTTCACAATTAAGCCCCGTCCCTCGGCTTATGGCGAATAAAAAAAAATCATCAGTATTAAGATGCGGCGGGTGGGCGGGGCTTATATTTTTCCTTTTTTTCTTAATATACATATCTATCT